AGGGATGATACTAAAGTTAGTTAGTTTATTTTAGTATATGGTTGCTAAATGTTTATACCCTGTATTTGCTTGGGAGGGGGGAGGGAGGGAGGGGATGTGGGTTGGGGGGGGGAGGGGGGGTATAATTGTAAAACTCATTAAAACTTTTAATTAAAAAAAAGAGTTCTAAGTTAGACTTAGAATAACTTCATTGTCACTTTGAATACCCTGTTTCCCTGAAAATAAGACTTCCCTTGATAATAAGCCCAATCGGGCTTTTGAGCTCATACGCCAAAATAAGCCCTCCCCGAAAATATTGCACCACAGCAGCCATGAGGTCACCATGCTCATTTGCCTCCTGCATCTCAGAAATAATAAGACTTCCCTGAAAATAAGGCCAAGTGTTTATTTCGGGTGTCAAAAGAAAATAAGACCATGTCTTATTTTCAGGGAAATACGGCATACACTAATTGGCATACATATAAAATGAAATTTTGTTGCCTACAACTCTCAAAGGGTGTCCACCTCTAACATATTACATAAACATGACAAATAAATAAATATAAAATTATGCATATACCCACATGCATTATATGATATGGAGAAACAATACAGTCTAGTTCAGATGTATTCATGTACATGGTGAGAGAAACGAATCCTGCAAATTTGGCAATGGCCTACGGAACAAAGCTGTTACAGAATTGGATAGTCCTGCTAGAAATAATATGAAATCTCTTCCCCAGAGGGGAGCAACAGAAGCAGACTGTGAAGTGGATGTGTGGGGGTCTCTAACATTTCTTTGAGCTATAAGTACATAGTGCTTATAAGCAGCATCCCGAATAACGGGAAGCGAGCTTCCTATAATCTTCTCTGCTGTCCTCACCACTCTCTGTAGGGACTTTTTATCTGAGGTGCTGCCGCCACCAATGCAGTTTGTTAAAATGCTCTCAGTCATGCCTCTGTAAAAAGTGGCCAGGGCACAAGGAGAAAGGTGTGCTCTCCTTATCCGATGCAAGAAATGCAGACGCTGGTTTGCACGCTTCACTAAGGATGAGAGACCAGTTCAGATTAAGTTATCTGCACCCCCAGATATTTATTACTGTCCACCTTGAATTCTGTTGACTCTTATCTCCTGCCAATTTGCTTTAAGCATTTGTCAACTGTCCCCTTGGCAATTTGCAGCAAAAGAAACTCCCGGGACAATATTTTACCAGGAGTATAACTTTACTGATAGATCCATATAGACACAGAAGAAACGAGGCTAGCTCTGAGGTTTTCGCACAAAAATCAGCATAATTAAGGGAGCGCCTGCAAACTGCGTAATAAGAAAAGAAGTGTTTGTCCTTCCCGGCCCCCAGGAACATTCTGCAGGCTTCAGCAGGGCTGGGGGGGAAAGCAAAAATGCCCCCTGTTTTTTGCGAAAAGCAGCCCATCGCTGGGACTGGCATGCACACACCATTTTAAAAGGGGAAATAATTACATTTTTTCAATGAAGATTGTTTTGCGCATGTGCAGAACAGAAAATAAAGATGGCAGCGCTAAGGATACAACCGGTACGGAGTTACTACCTATTTGACCGAGTTGGACTGTACCAGTAGGAAGGAACCCACCTCTGGATTGGCCTGCCTCACACACGGTGGTAGAAAGGGCCTCCCGCAGACCCCATCAGCCAAGGGATTTCATCTGGCGGGAGCCTTTTCTGCCACGGCCAGAAGCTCCTTTTCCAGCTAACACATCTTATAAAAAGGCATCGGTGTCTGTGAGCCGATGTGAAAAACTTCTTCACCAGATCTGTGGAAGAGAGTGGGCTTTAATTTAAATTCAGATTTAATCGTCCATTAGTTCAGACACGTCTCTTTCTTGCTTAGGGCTGCAAAGCACTGTGACATGGTATATAAGTCCAAGTGCTATTGCTAAGTAGTGGTAATTAGCCTCAAGGTCTCTTCCCATATTCCAAAACCCCATAGAGCAGGAGCAGGGCAGATCTAACAACTTTACAGCCTCTGGACATCAACTCCCAGCATGGCTGGTTCAGGGATTCTGGGAATTGAAGTCCACGGGTCAGTCAAATTGCTCACCCCGGCTACAGAGCAGCTGACAAGGCCTTCATTCCAAGGATGCGTCCCACCCACCTCATTCAAGCTCTGATCATTAGAGACTCAACGCTGGCGGGCTCCACACCAGGAGTCCCCAATCCCCAGCCCAGTACCGGACTGCAGCCGTTCAGAAGCAGGCCATGGACGCAACGGGCGAGCGTGCGCGCAACTCCCCTTTTGCGAGCAACCTGCATGCGTACAGTTCCATTTTTTGAGCATGAGTGCTGACTGCTTGCACAAATTGATCTGCGTGCGCCTGCTCACCCGGAACCAAAGAGCCGAGGTGGCGCAGTGGTTAGAGTGCAGTACTGCAGGCCACTTCAGCTGACTGTTATCTGCAGTTCAGC